AAAAAACATTAGGTAGGATGCATTTGGCAGTAAAATGATAAACTAGATATATTCATGTACAAAGGCCAATTGATTATCTTTTATCTAGTTTATAGTTTTGTTGGCAAATAAATATTTTGTCTTTTTCTTTGGCTTTCTAGTTATAGGACTTCCATTCAGCCAGATTTCAGGCAATTCTGAATGATGAAATGTTCATGGATTTACCAGTATGATATTTTCATTCTTTCCTCATAAACATGTTAGCTTTGTTTATGAAACTCAAAAACATGAACATATTTAACCAAATTAATGTCCATGGGCCTCACTTCAGTCAAATCCAATTAAAGATCATGAAGTGGCGCAGTAGAAGGACACTAATCAGTCTTTAATAACTGGCTCTTCCATGCTGAAAACCAAGTTCCCCGTGAACATAAACGTATCTGCATGATTGAAAGAACAAAAGCTTAAATAGAAAATAATTTGCTTTCAAAACCCAAGGGAAGAAAAACTGTAATTTTTGCTTCAAGGAGTTTGCTAATTATCTAGAGATGGAAAAAAAGAGAAACATCTATAAAACAATGTATTTTTAACTCGCATATTCTTGCCAGTCAAAGCTGAAAGACCTTAGGGGTAACCTAGCAACAAAAAAAAACCATTCGAGTATGAAGTATTCTATTACAGACAGGACTAATTGCTACTCAGCTGTTTTTTACTTGTTGATTTAGTCACAATTCTTACACTTTATATAAATATGACCAATTACACATCTTAGAAAGCAATTTGAATATGTCAAGAAATACAACCAAGGATGAAACTCATTTCTTCCCTAAGAGTATTGCTATTACATTAATAGTTTCTTTCAACTTAGCTCAAATCCAGGGCTTTTGTTACCTATTCAAAAAAGCATTATTATTGGAGAACCGAGATGGCAGCGTAGGTAAATGCCAGTACTCGCTGCCTCTTTCAACCACATCAAAATTACAACTAAAATACAGAAAAACCATCATTCATAACCGCCTGAAATCTGGTTGAATGGAAGTCCTACAACTAGAAAGGTAAAGAAGAAAGCACACTGAGACTGGTAGGAGGGGCAGAGGCGTGGAACAGGCTAGTCCGACACCCACGTGTGGCATGTTTTTTGTTTTGTTTTGTTAAATATATTTTATTGATTTCAGAGAGGAAGGGAGAGAAGTGAGAGAAACATCAATGATGAGAGAGAATCGTTGATGGGCTGCCTCCTGCACACCACACACTGGGGATCAAGCCCACAACCCAAGCATGTGCCCCTGACCAGAATCAAACCTCGGACCCTTCAGTCCGCAGGTTGACACACTATCCACTGAGCCAAACTGGCTAGGGCTTTTTTTTAAATTTCAGAGAGGAAGAGAGAGGGGGAGAGAGGGAGAGAAACATCAACGATGAGAGAGAATCACTGATGGGACGCGTGGCATGTTTTTAATCAGAAGGGATATCTCCCCTGCCGAGGCCTCCCATAAGGAACAAGGGGTTCCCAGCCCAACACCAGACCCCTAGCCCAGGGTTCCAGATCTGGGAAGAGAAGTCCACCTATCTTCAGGCTGTAAAAACCAGCCAGATTATAGTTGAGTGACAATGGAGGCTGTTGGGAGTCCCAGGTATTCCTCTGAAAAGCCACTCTACCAATTCCAGGAGCCATAACAGCTCTACCCAATATATAAACACAAAAACAAGGAAGCAGTCAAAATGCAGAGACAAAGAAACACATCACAAATGAAAGAACAAAAGAAATCTCCAGAAAGAGAAATAAATGAAATGGAAGCAAGCAAACTACTGGATACAGAGTTCAAAACAATGGTATAAGGCAGTGATGGCGAACCTTTTGAGCTCGGCGTGTCAGCATTTTGAAAAACCCTAACTTAACTCTGGTGCCGTGTCACATATAGAAATTTTTTGATCTTTGAAACCATAGTAAAACAAAGACTTATATTTCTAATATTTATTTTATATATTTAAATGCCATTTAACAAAGAAAAATCAACCAAAAAAATGAGTTCGGGTGTCACCTCTGACACGCGTGTCATAGGTTCGCCATCACTGGTATAAGGTTGCTCAAGAATCTTAATGATAATTTCAAAGACATGAAAAAGGACTGGTAAAAATGAAGGATACACTAACTGAAATGAAGAATAATTTACAGAGAATCAACAGTAGAGTAGATGAAGTCAAGAATCAAATAAGTGATTTGGAATATAAGGAAGCAAAAAACACCCAATCAAAACAGCAACAAGAAAAAAGAATCCGAAAAAGTGAGGACAGGGTAGGGAACTTCTGAGACAACTTCAAGCGTACCAACATTCATATCATGGGGTTTTCGGAAGGAGAACAGAGAGAGCAAGAAATTGAAAATACACTGAAAAAATGACAGAAACCTTCCCTATTGGTGAAGGAAATAGACATACAAGTCCAGAAAGCACACAGTCCCAAAGAAGAGGAACCCAAAGAGGCCCACATCAAAATACATCATAATTAAAGTGCAAAAGGTTAAAGACAGAAAGAATCTTAAAAGCAGCAAGAGAGAAGCCGTTACCTACAAGGGGAGCTCCCGTAAGATTGCCAGCTGATTTCTCAACAGAAACCTTGCAGGCCAGAAGGGATTGGCAAGAAATATTCAAAATGATGAAAAGCAAGGACCTATAACCAAGATTACTCTACCCAGCAAAGCTATCATTTAGAATCAAAGGACAGCTCAACAGCTTTCCAGACTAAAGGAATTTATCACCATTAAACCAATATCATATGAATGTTAAAGGGTCTTCTCTAAGAAGAATATAAAAAATATGAACAGTAGAATGGTAATAAATACATATCTATCAACAATTAAATCTAAAAAATAAAATAAACAAACAAGCAGGACAGAAACAGATTCACAGATACAGAGAACATTTTGACTGTTGCCAGATGGGAGGGGGGTTGTGGGATAGGTGAAAAAGATGAAGGGATTAAGAATTCAAATTGGGCCCTAACCGGTTTGGCTCAGTGGACAGAGCATCAGCCTGCGGACTCAAGGGTCCCAAGTTCGATTCCGGTCAAGGGCATGTACCTTGTTTGCGGGCACATCCCCAGTAGGGGATGCGCAAGAGGCAGCTGATCGATGTTTCTCTCTCATCGATGTTTCTAACTCTCTATCCTTCTCCCTTCCTCTCTGTAGAAAATCAATAAAATATATTTAAAAAAAAAAAGAAGAAGTACAAATTGGTTGTTACAGAATAGTCACAGGGATGTAAAGTACAGCATAAGGAATACTGTCGATAACAGTCTAATAACTCTGCATAGTGTCAGATGGGTGCAGCATTTATCAGGATGATCACGTATTAAGTATGTAATATCTAATTGCTGGAGTGTACGCCTGAGACTAATATAATAGTGTATGTCACCTGTGATTGAAAATAAAAAATTACTTTAGAAATAAATAAAGGGAATTAGAAAATAAGAAATAAAAGGAATTAATAAAAGCATTTTTAGGACAGTTTAAGCATTTTATAAGAAACATGCTATCAAAAGACAAATTCTTTACTGATAATGATAGGTACATAGCTGAGTGTAAGTCAAAAGGCCTGGATTGGGTTCTGGCTTTGCCCTTCCTTACATGGGGGAAATCACTCAAACTTCTTGACAATCTCAAGATATTCAAAATTTGAAAGTTCTGCTATGATTTCAGATCCCCAGCAACTCTGAAATAGCTATGATGCAATGAGGTATCCAGAGTATAAAAAAATTCTTGTTCACAATTGTCCCTTTGATGACTTTATTTACACAGTAATTCACTCTTTTCATTTCTTTCCCTTCTGTAATCACAAGAATTATCCCTTGTCCTCAAATATCATTACAAGCTACAATAAACTGAATACAAATACTGGACAATGGGTCAGAACTCAAGTCTCAGTTATTATTTTATTTATTCAACCTACCACATGCCAGGGACTTTGTGAGGCATTAAGGATAAAGGAATAAAACAAAGTTCTTGCCCTTATGAATAAAAATGTTTTGTAGTGATATGCACTAAGAAGGTAAGTCAAGCAGGATGAAGGCAGAGAGAGTTCCCTTATAAAACTGGGTGTGCTATTCCAGGTGGCCTTTGTAATGAAGTGATACTACAGCCAAGATCTGGATGGAATGAGGAAGACAGCCATGATGACACAGAGGGCATAAATGTTTCGAGCAGAAGGATTCATAAGCACAGAGGCCCTAGAGCAGTGGTTCTCAACCTTCCTAATGCCGCGACCCTTTAATACAGTTCCTCATGTTGTGGTGACCCCCAACCATAAAATTATTTTTCTTGCTACTTCATAACTATAATTTTGCTACTGTTATGAATCATAATGTAAATATCTGATATGCAGGATGTATTTTCATTGTTCAAGACCTACAGAGAAGCTTAGAATGTTCAAAATCAGAAAGGCCAATGGAATGGCAGCCGAGAGAACTTTGGGGAAGAACAAAACAAGATGTCAACAGAATGGTGATGAGCACCAGACCACGCAGGGCCTGGAGAGCCATGATGACCCACTGAACTGTCGTCTCTATGTGATGGGAAACATCTGGAGGATTTTGAAGAGGGAATTAACATCGCTTAAGTTACATTCTAAAAGGATTACTCTGATTGCTGTGTGAAAAATAAACTTTAGGTGCAGTGATAGACTAAAATTAAGAATATTGGTTAGGCTAACACAAGAGCTCAGGTAAATTACAATGACGGCTTTCACTAAGAGAAAAGTAGCTGCTACAGTGAGAACCATTGGGATTCTAGGTGTATTTTTAAAAGTAAAGCCAACAGGAACAGCTGATGAACTCAAGGCAGGTTATGAAAGAATGTCAATGACACATCCATAGTTTTTGGCTTCGGAAAGTGAGTAAATGGAAATTAAGTCTTAAGACCTAGAAACTCTTATCAAGACATTAAATTCAACTGCTCAGAAATAGCATAAGCATTGCTGACATAAAACTGACAAAGCAAAAACAGAATGACTGCTTTCTCTACTCACCATTTGCAGATTGTATCATATTTCCAGATTTTTGGACTTCATCAAATTTTGTAAAGATTAAATTCAACCTGTATGAATGAAAAAATATAAATTATTAACCATCACTGAAAAAACAGTAATACAAACCCACCTAATAACAAAGACAGTGACTATAATAATAACATCAACAACACTTACTATAGGTCAAGCACTGACCTGAGGGCTCTAACTGACAGATCTTGTTTAAACCTTGTAACAGCCTTATATGGGATTATTGCCATCCCCATTTTACAGATCAAGAAATCAAGAACCCCACAGCTTGCATAGGTGACACAGCTGGGGTGGAGACTGCAGCCCTGAGACTAAGAATCCAGAGCGCGTCCTCTCAGACATTATATTAAATTTATTGATCCATACAAAATGAATATACACTATGAAAAGCATATATTTCTGCCTAAGCACAGACTGCTAATTACTTAGGATAAAGATTTGTAAAATGCTCTAAATATTACAAAGGCTTTTCTTTTCGGTGATTTATGCTTAATTTTAAAATGCTATAAATAATTTATCTACCAACATTGTAACTGGGTAATCTTCATCTTTTAAAAAAAGCAATATGACATTAATTTTTTATTAGTGGATCATTTTCACCTTGACATTTTAATTGAAGCAAAACTCAGTATTCTGAGTGACTGAGTGACACCAAAAATTAGAGGAAAGTTGGGGGTCGGGGGGTCAAGAAAAAAGAGGCTTTCCCAAGCAAACACAGATACATTTGAATAAGTATAAAGGTTAAGATACCAAGGTAATGTACTTCTGCATTCAAACCTACGCCATTCATTTCAGGGGCCTAATTTGAAATGTTAGCACTTTTCTTACAAACAATCCAGTCACACAAGCTCTAATCATTCCAACCATGTTTGTCCTTTCTTTCCAACCAGAATGGAAATTCCTTGGGGTGAAGATGGGAACTATATTCTTTTCGTATTCTGTACACACCAAGTCCTATGTCATGCAGGAGAGTGATATCACGTGTGAAAAAGCTGGTACCTAATGCTGTCCCCTGCCCTCACTTCAGAAAACTGGTTATTTCAATCATTCTGGTCTCAGTGCCTGAGTTCATTCACTGAACCCCGCAGAGTAAGCTAGATGCTGAATGTGGAAAGTTCCTAACCTCTAGAGCTTCTCCTTCATTCTATTCTACTTAGAATTCTAAGTAACAGGGGAGCCAAAAATGTACATCAGCAGACAGAGGTAAAATGAAAGAGAGGAACTAGCCTGATATACTTCTTCTCCCTTCCCATTCCATGGTCCGTATCAATAATCTTTTCAACCCATCTTTCCATCTAAGTCCAGATATCGCCTCAGATTCCTTCTCAAACTGCTCTAGGCAGCCACTAACAATTAAGCACGGTTGGCATTTAAATTAAAAATCTAGCCCACCAGTGTTGCTCAGTGGTTGAGCGTCAACCCAAGAACCAGGAAGTCAGGGTTTGATTCCTGGTCAGAGCACATGCCACGTCATTAGTCTTGGACTGACTTGTTTGGTGTGCGCAACAGGAAATATTTTGCTTTCGGAGAACAAGAAAAATAGGTTTATTTGCACTTACGCTTATTAATTTGTGCAGTTCTTCAGTGTCTGATAAGTTAATGTTCAAGAAAAAATATTAATTTTTATTAAAATGTATTATTTTATGTTAACGATGACTCATGTATTTCAGCCCTTTGTATCCAGCATGTCTTTATCAAATAAACCTATGTTGCTATGAAAATTGAACCTTTTTTTTTTGCGGCCCACATAAACTTAAACCTTGTTTATTTGGCCCATGCTAGCCTTTGAGTTTGACATGCTTGCTTTACCCTGACACCATGATCAAAAAGAATCAGGGACAACTGATTCACAGGGCAGCTGCCTGAGGTGCCAATCACAACTGGAGCCAAGAAACTGACCAAAGAGCTTACAAGGAAAAGCTGTAAAAAGCTCTGACATATTCCTGGGTAACTAGGAGGCCACACGTGTGTGCAAGGCTGGGTACCTGCCCAGGGAAGACCCAAGAAGGCACTGTCTCACCTCTGGCAGTAAAGGGGAAGGTGGAGATGCACAAACTGCCGGCCAGGAAACTGAAAGCATGCCCCAACACACACAGAGAGCCCTTCGGCAAAGGCTGAGAGATACACCGGCTGAAAACCTATTCAATCGTTGGCTAACTCTAAGCCAGTGGTCGGCAAACTCATTAGTCAACAGAGCCAAATATCAACAGTACTTCTTCAAAATAGACTCACCCAGGCCGAAAACCGACTTCTGCGCATGGGCCACGAAGTTTCAATAGCACTGTACGTGCACGCCGCACGTGGTATTTTGTGGAAGAGCCACACTCAAGGGGTCAAAGAGCCGCATGTGGCTCACGAGCCGTGGTCGAAGCTAACCAAGCAAAGACTTCAGTAGTCACACACAACAACAGAATACAGACTACAGAATCGTTCAGGCAAGTCACTAAGTAAGCAATAAGCAACGAACACCATCAACAACAAGCCTGGGGAGGGAGAAGAACGTGCTTTTCAGAGGCGCCACAACATATAATTTGAAATGATGAGTTTCAACAAAAAATTATGAGACGTATAAAGTAATAAGAAAATATAGCCCATACACAGGGAAAAAATCAATCAACAGAAACTATCTTTAATGGAAGCCCAGACACTGGAATTAACCTAATGAAATCTACCATTATAAGTATGTTGTAAAGAACTAGAGCAGTGGTTCTCAACCTTCTGGCCCTTTAAATACAGTTCCTCATGTTGTGACCCAACCATAAAATTATTTTCGTTGCTACTTCATAACTGTAATGTTGCTACTGTTATGAATCGTAATGTAAATATCTGATACACAGGATGGTCTTAGGCGACCTCTGTGAAAGGGTCGTTTGACCGGTAAAGGGGTCGCGACCCACAGGTTGAGAACCACTGAACTAGAGGAAAGTATAAGAGCAATGTCTCAACAAATAGATAATATTAATAAAGAGAGAGAAAACATAAGAAAGAAACAGGTAAAAATTCTAGAAATGAAAAGTACAATAATTGCAAAAATTCACTAGGGACTCAACAATGGGTTTGAGCTGCAGAAGAAAGAAGGAGCAAACTTAAACATGAGCCAATTGCAAATACCCTGTTTGAGAAACAAAAGAGAAAAAAAACAAGAGGGGTGTGTAAAAAAAAAAAAAGAGCAGCAACTAAGAGATCATCTTCCTACGATATGAACATATACATAATGGAAATTCCAGCAGAGAAGAAAAAAAGGGACAGAAAGAATATGTAAAAAAATAATGACTATAAACTTTCCAAATTTTATATAAAATATTAACCTATATATTAAAGAAGAAGTTTTAACAAATTCCAAACAGGATAAAGTTAAAGAGAACCTAACCTGGATACATGATAAGCAAAATGTCAAGAGAAAAGACAAATTCTTGAAAGCAACAGTACAGAAGCTGCTCATGTACAAGGATCCTTAATAAAATTAGTAACTGCTTTCTCATAAAAAAACAATGGGGGGCAGGCAGCAGTGGATGACATATTCAAAGTCCTGAAATTAAAAATCTCCACCAAGAATTCTATAACCAACAAATTTACCCTTCAAAAATGAAGCAGTGCCCTAGCCTGTTTGGTTCCGTGGATAGAGTGTCAGCCTGCGGATCAAAGGGTCCCGGGTTCGATTCCAGTCAAGGGCATGTACCTTGGGGACAGTACCTTGGTTGCAAGCTCCTCCCCGGGCCGGGCCGGGCCCTGGTGAGGGCTCCTGCAGGAAGCAACCAATCAATGTGTTTCTCTCACATTGATGTTTCTCTCTCTGTCTTTCCCTCTCTCTTCCACTCTCCCTAAAAAAATCAACAGAAAAATATCCTCAGGTGAGGATTAACAACAACAACAAAGAACAAAAAATAAAGAAGCAGCAGCCCTAGTTGGTTTGGCTCAGTGAATAGAGCATCGGCCTGCGACTAAAGGGTCCTGGGTTCAATTCCAGTCAAGAGCACATGCTGGGGTTGTGGGCTCGATCCCCAGTAGGGTGTGTGCAGGAGGCAGCCAATCAATGATTCTCTCTCATCACTGATGTTTCTATCTCTCTCTCTTCCTCTCTGAAATCAATAAAAATATATATATTTTTTAAATGAAGCCGACAGCATGGATGGACCTGGAGAGTATTATGCTAAGCGAAATAAAGCCAGTCAGAGAAAAACAAGTATCACATGATCTCACTCATATGTGGAATCTAATGAACAAAATACACTGACAAAAAAAATAGGGCCAGAGAGATGGAAACATGGAACAGACTGTTGACTCTCAGGGGGAAGGGGGGTTGGGGAGATGGGAAGAGATATTACCCCGAGAACATATATGCACAGCCCATGGACACAGACAATAGTGTGGTGAAGGTCTAGGGTGGGACAGGAGCTGGGTAGAGGGGTCAAAAATGGGGAGATTGGGGGACATCTGTAAAGTGTCAACAATAAAAAACTAAAATAAAAAAGGATGAAATCAAAAGAGGAATTATAAAATACTTTGAGATGAATGAAAATGAAAACACAATATGCCCAAACTTATAGGATGCAGCTAACATAGAACTCTTTAAAGAAAAATTTATAGGCATAAATGTCTATCTTAAAACACAGGATCTCAAATCAATAACCTAACCTTCACCTTAAAAAACTTGGTGGGGGTGGGGAGAGCAAAAGCAACCAAACAAAAGGAAGAAATAGTGACAATTCAAGCAGAAATATATAAAAAAGGGAAACAGAAAAACATTAGAGAAAATCAACAAACCAAAAGTTAGTTCTTGGAAAAGACCTTTAGCTAGAATGACCAAAGAGAAAAGATTCAAACTACTGGAATTAAAAGATGAAAGAAGACATATTTCTAATTGTCCTTAGAAAAAAAGAAAAATTACAAGAGGGCAACATGAACTCTGTCAAAAATTAGATAACTTAGATAAAATTCCTAGATAGACACAAACTACCAAAATGGACTCAACAAGTAACAAAATCCTAATAGACCTATACCAAAAGACATTAATTATAGTAATCAAAACACATCCCCC